ACTTCACACGGCCTAAATTCGCACGCTGTGGTGCGTGTTCCAAATGGCTTTTTGTAACATAAGAGCCTGTGTACAAACGCAGTTCCGCTGTGGCACAGCGTATTGCTTCTTACCAGCTCGTGGGCCAAATGTTTCCTGCGCGCCCCTCATCGCTCTCTTTGTCTCATTTGGATCGCACTTTAAACCTCCACCGCATCCCCAGTAGAGAAGGCCAAATGGAAACAATACAAACCCCTCCAATCTGGAATGGCCGTGTGTTTCAACACATTCTCGCTTTTTATGTCTTCTCCTGAGGGCACGGAGTTAGTTATCAGGCTACAATATGTTATCTCAAGCCAGTTGCAACTGGAAGTGAAACGGTAGTAACAAAAATTGTGGCCAATACATACAAATGTATACATTTCCTCTTGGGCACCTTAAACAGGAAACAGTAAAACAATTAGACTTGTTGTTCAGTTCTGACCTCTGTTTTGTGCTACTGAGCGCAGGGAGCCAGAGATAAAGACTGTTGTATTTTTCGAGTGTAATCAGCGCTGGAAAGCCTCTCGAGTCGCAGTATGGGTCAAAACTACGCAAACACCCACTTTTCATCCTACGGTAAAATCAAATACAGCGTGGAACCGGCACGCCATAGTCATCCGTCGACTGCAAACCCACACCGAGCGCTGCGGTCAGCCACCCGGGCCCGCCCGCATGTGATAACAGGCGGAGATGCGGCATCCTAATTGCTCGCCTGAGTGATACGGGAGGGAGTTTCAGCACTTGAGATCTTTGAAATCGATTTCTGTTGACTGTCATCTCCGGTGCAGTATTGGACGTGCACTCGCTGGACACCTCTTTAAGTACACCTGTTTGGTCTAATTAGATGAATTGCATGTGCTACGGTCCAGCCAATGAAAAAAAAATACTACAACATGCTCGAATTGACATGGAGCAGTATCAGGTTCTGATGGTTTTATAACCGAGAGCACATGTATCAAACTCAAGGCCCGGGGGCCAGGTCCGGCCCGCCACATCATTTTATGTGTGTCCACTCGTATGATCCTTGCTAAAATCTGTACCGAAATGTCAGATGTGTAATAAATCACGTTAGGATATTGCAATAAAGTTGTTACCCTGTTTACACTCACTTGAACAATAATTGAACAAACTATTACCGGTATAGTCAACGTCACTGATTTCAAAACGACTACCTGGTAATTCATTCACTTGTTGTGTACAAGTAATAATGCGATGAGACGATTCAACACTTTTGTGGTTTTACTGTCAAAACGGCCCTCCGAAGGGAAGACGTAACTCCAAAGTGGCCCGCGACAGAATTAGTTTGACACCGCTGACCTAGAGCAAAAACTACAGTTTGAAAACGTATTCCTTTCAAATGTCGTTTAAAAAAAAAAAAAAAAATCTACTTTTGTCCGTTGAACATAATCTACTTTATTTTGACATGTAGAATATTTGGTACAATTGTAAAGTGTTCCCCAACCGCCGATCTGCCGCATATTGTTAAAAAACAAACACAATTTAGATTTACTTTGTGTAATCTTTGTATATGCCACTGGTGTATCGACTGAAGTGGCTGTTGAGTGTGCATCCCCCTGCAAATTAATGCAACGCAGATAAATGCAGAATTTACAATCTGGTCCCTGCATTGGCTGTCAGTGCGAGCGGCTGCCTGAGAGTGTTTTGCATGCTTTAATTTGATTTTTTTTTTTTTTTCAGCGCCCAGTGCAGGGAAACAGAGCACATAGCACATTTGTCTCAGGGGCCATGTTGAGGTAAATATAGCAACAAGACGGCACCAGTTGATATGAAGGATTCCGCGGTGTGGAGAGCTGTTTGCGACTCACCATTAGTGTGTGTGCAATGGGTGTATGTACAATGTTGGATTTGATTTATTTTAAGAAGCAATTGTTAGAGCAGTTGACTACTCATGTCTTCTCTGTGTACAAGGGAAGGCGATGAAGCGTGTATGTCGAAGAATGAAGGTGAAGGTGGTGATGTGGGGTGATAGTAAAGACAGCGAGAAGCCCGTGAGAGCCTGGCTGGCTCCCGTCTGACGGTGTGTGTGTGTGTGTGTGTGTGTGTGTGTGTGTGTGTGTGTGTGTGTGTGTGTGTGTGTGTGTGTGTGTGTGTGTGTGTGTGTGAAAATGTGTGTGTGTGTGTGTGTGTGTGCGCGTGTATCTTAAGAGTGTGTTGAGAGGAGAGTGGGGTCGTCTGTGTGTTTAATCAGCAGGGTTCTTGTGTGTCCCCGTCTCATTGTCTCCCCTCCATTCCTGCAGAACATCTTTGTACCGCCTGATAACGTCCCCACTGCGCTTCTCGGCAGAAGTCTTCCCACGGGTCAGGGCAGGTAAAGTAGAAACGATGTTCCAAACACTTCTTTGAATCATAGTCACTGCTGATCTGTACACTCATTTTGTACATTCATGGGAAGTCAGGAGCTTCAGGCACGATTTGGCAATCTATCGCCTGTGGGTCGTATTTGGCCCAGGAAAATATTTGACACAGTCCTTGCATTTCTAAAAAAAAAAATGTTAAAACCTCACATTTCTAAAAAAAAAAATGTTAAAACCTCCAAGCATTCATCCCATAAAAATTATACAATGGTGCCCTGGGATACGAGTTTATCTTTTTTGGAATGGATTATTCACAAAAACGGAGGTTCCGCTGTATATCACTTGGAGTACTAAGATAGACCCGGACTGGAAAAAGGTTCCCCAAACCTGCAAACTACAATAACAAGGAAAGGTCTGTTTTCAAAATCTTACTTGAATAGAAACTGGTCTACATCCCAACCACCTTGTATATGCCCTTGAGCAACCCTACGTTTATTGTATTGGCCTTTGGTTGCTATGGTCAGTTTTTGGCCTCTTGAAAGTGGACTTTTGGCTCAATGGTTTCATCTGTGACTGTGGGCTATTCCACTCATCCCGTACGGGGCATGCAGATGGCTCTTAAAAGAAAAGAAAAAAAGCAGGAAGCAATCTTTCTGTATTTTGAGAAAACTGTGGGAAGTCAATCTTTTATTTATCCAAATGTTGCAATGTTACTTTAAACCGATGATGAATAAATTTTGCTTATTTCAAAAATCACCGACATATCCCCCTCCCCATACTGACAGTCTCTTCTTGATTGGAGCCTATTTCTCAAATTCGCTAACTGATGATTATCTCAGATTAATACATAATATCTGTTTAGTGAGGCTTTGTGGAAAATACCTCTTACATTTGAACAAAAAGTCAGTAGTATTGCATTGCATTGCATACTCGTGCCATCATGGTATCCTTACATTGCTTACCGACTCTCTGTAATGAAGTGGTACATCCTAAATGTTACTTTTGTTAATTCGTAGTTGCTTGTTGCTATTGTAATATTGTGGCTCAAAGTACCAGAGACAAATTCCTTGTGTGTTTTTCACATACTTAGGCAATGAAGAGGATTCTGATCCTGTCAAACTGGGTGACATGTCACTGTCCAGACTTCCTTCCCTAAACTGATTGCAACCCAGTTGATCTCACCATGAGGGACAGCTGCACGGTTTAATCTGGTCCAATGCAAGACACATGTCAAAAATGTTCATCTTTACAAAGATAATAGTTGGTATATATTGACACTGTTGTTGTGGTTTTAGTTGCGTTCACTGGGTGATACGGAGTATGTTTACAATACACTACTGTTCGATACACCACAATCATAAATGCACCTCCTGTTTTGGATCTCATGAAACAGTATGTGTGCAGATGTGCCTAATGTTGTGGCCCACGAGTGGATCTTCCTGTGTGGGACAGTGCACGCTCCCACGATCAGTTCAGTTACCCAGTTCCATCTCCTCCATTACTGGCGAGCCTAGCGATCAATAATTCAATAGATTTGGCGTCTGGATCCTGTCGCTGAATGCCAAGACACACACACACACGCACACAGACTCAGTGTTAGTCGGCTATTAATTAATAGCCCAGGACACTATTGTTGTGTGCGGAAATTTGGGGATTGTAAAGCGATCTGCCTGCGTATGATCATGTCATGAGTTTGTTCAATAAAACGCGATTAAGATGTCAGGAAATTAATTTGTGAGGGGCAGGCCTTAATGAAGCTTTCACACACACCCCTCCATTTTGATTTGCAAGCATTATCGTAACAAAAATCACTCACGGGCCTTTTTGACCACCAGTGTTTCAACTATGGCCAATGTCAATTAACTATTAATCACTACTCTCACCGTGTGTCTGGCAGCATAAACATAACAAATTAAGTTTTGTTAAAAAAAGATATATATATATATATATAAACATTCAAATGAACAACACAGAATTGAGCGAAAAGGGGTGCCCAACTTGACAGCTCTTTATCTGTTATCTCCCTGTTGTGTTCTCTTGTATCATGAAAATGATCAGTCTGCCTCTCCAAATGTTCCATAACCAAAAAGCATGCATAATGCATGAATTTGGCAGAGGAACAAGTAATGTTCCTCACTTAACGGACCTGTCATTCGTGACGTTATCAAAAGACTTACGCCACCATCATGAATTATTTAAAAACGATTCTTTACCAATAATAATTTTCAAACAAAGGGCCCTACTGCTCCAATAAAAGTGTCAACTCGTTAGAGAACCTTTAGTTAATTTATTATCAGAACAAAACAAAAAAAAAAAACATTTTGGTTAGATGGATTCACGTTTCACATGTGATGGAAAAGGATTCATGAGTGTTATTTTTTTTCTCCTTTTTTTTGAAGAAACCCGTGCCTCGGGTGCGTTCACTTTCACTGTCATGTATGTATGTGTGTGTATATATATATATATATAGAGAGAGAGAGAGAGAGAGAGAGAGAGAGAGAGAGAGAGTATATATATAGTTACATACAAGAAGCACATAGCTTACACGCAAATGAAGTCATATACCCCCGCAAAAATGAGCCAAAAATAATACATGTTTCTCGTGTATAAACATATTTTACATGTGCCCGTACCGCTTTACAGTCCTTTTTTGTTATATATATAACATAAGCACCCCCTTTAAAAGGAGATGAAACACCACTGAGGAAAACAGAAGAAAAAAAAACATATATTATGCTCTCACATTTGTGGTGTCTGGCGTAAAAAAAAAAAAAAACTAAACTAAAAAAAGTTATATAGGTCAGCGTGTTGGCTCATGCAAACATTTTGGATAGGATCCCCTCCCTTCCCTTTTGGGCAAGGAAGTGTTGAACTATAACGAGGCCAGCCTCTGTAAGTCCCGATAATAACAATAATATTAATAATAATGAGATGTTAAAACAGACTGCAGAATGGTTCGCCTTGTTTGACAAAGTATCGACCGCCAGCTGCATCGTCCTCCTCCTCTTCCTGCCACAAGGGCCGTCCATGGTTGTTTGTTTTCTGGTGTTGTTGTTGTTTCTGGGAAGGTGGTAGAAAAATCCCCTCCCATCGGCTATTGAGCAGTCACTTTTCATAATCTTATAAATAGCCTTCATTCTTATCGTTGTCCTGCATGGGGAAAAACATAAATAGTGTCCTCGCGTGGCGGTGGCGTGCCCCCACGTGTGCGCGTTCCCGAGCGACGTCGTCGTCGCGGTGGTCGTCACAGACCCAGCGCGGCCGCGTGTTTCTTGGCCTTAAGTCTCAGGTCGGCGATGCTCGAGTTCTTGCTGGTGTTCTTGGCGGCGGCGGCAGCGGCCACCACGGATGCGGCTGACGCCGATTCTGCGGCCAGCGTGGCCAGCGGTAGGCCGAAGGGCGGCGCCGGAAACATCATGTAGGGCGCGTGCGCGGCCAGGTGTGAGTGCAGGTGGTGCTGCGCATGCGCCACGGCGCTGTCCAGCTGCAGCTGCGCCTGCACCTGAAATGAGAAGGGCGGCACGTTGCAATGACTATCCTACAGGACGCACGCAGGAGGGGGTGAGAGAAGGGGGAAGGGAGGGGGGAGAACATGTGTTAAGTGCGCAGTGGCTCATGGGACATTCACTTAAACTTGTCTTTTTTTTTTTTTTTGCTGCTTTTTATTGCAGGTTGGGGATCGTCTAAAATTTCTAAAGTGGGCAACTATTGAGAGTACTGTATTTGATCCAAGTATAGTAAACACATGAAACCTCAGCGGAAAACTTTATTTAAAAAAAAACAAAATAAATAAACATTTAATCCCCAATGCCCTTAATCAGTTAAAAACGAGGCAGAGGTTTTATTTCTATTCATTATTGTATTATTTATATTCTATTATATTCAGGGTGACCGCCTACTGCCCGAAGACAGCTGGGATAGGCTCCTGCACCCACCGCCACCCTTGTGAGGATAAGCGGATCAGAAAATGGATGGATCGGTGGGTGGATGATTCTTGAAAATTGAACCTCATTATTGTATTTTGATTTTTAAAGATTTTTAAAACAATTTTCTTGATACCTTACACATTCAGTAAAACCAAAACTATTCGTGGGTAAATTGACACACTTCTGTGGTTTATATAGCTCAAGAAATCTGTGGTGCGAGAGGATATAGATTCACAGGTGAGCTAAAGAACTATCACCTTTCCAAAGAACCAACAATGAACTGCTTAAGATCCCAGTTTGTGTACAATGGTGCTATGGAACTTCTGAAGCACCTTTTTTCGACTGAACAGTCTTAAAATCTCAGGACGCACCACCAAACACAAATGTAGTAAAAAGTAGATAACAGGTTCAATATACATTCTACCATCTAATAGAAAAGCATGTCTTTTTTTCTGCCTGTCACTGCATTGCTGGCATGGATAGAAGAACAAAGATACATTATTTGTCGTAAGTAAATCATTTCCAGGCTAATTAAAAGAAACTGGATAATTTCCTGCAACAATAACATCTTCAATAAGATTATCATAAATTGGGCCCTTGCTGCACTGTGTATAAACAGATCAACAGAAATTGCATTTGGCGATGAGGTTCCCCAGAAATCGGACACTGTCATGTAAATATCATGTTTTGATATACCTATCAACACAAGTGGAAAATCTGTTGAAACGAATATAAAATCTATTGGTGCAAATTTTGGCGCACTTTGCACCACAACCTGTAATTTGGGTTTTTCTTTATAGAAGTCAAGAATGGAATGGAATATATATATCACCCCAATTCGACCTTTTGGGATTTTAGAGCTTGAAAATAAAAATTCTATACCCTTAACACACTCTCCTCTGATTGTTCGCAATCACAACAATAACCATACTGTAGATGTCTTAAGTATTCCTGAAAGAGTAAAAGGAAAAAAAAATCCATGCATCCATCTCAATTCGAGGCCTTGCTGTGTTAGCACAGTGCTCTGCAATTAGGCTTTAAGTTGAATATTGCATTCGGCCTGAGCCAGTGCCAAGACAGCGTTCCAGGACCCCTTCAACAAGACACTTGCCTGTTGGAATGGCATCCGTAAAGCCCCCACGTTGACATATGGCGCTACGCGACAAGCCTCAAACTGATTTGCTGCTCCGATCAGGACTCCTGGTAGAAAAGAATGCTGAGATGAGAGCCTTATAGGAGACAAACTCCACAAACACTTGACCGCCAAGTGGCAAATTGCATCCAAAATAAGCCCGAGAATAGAATAGGGTCACATATTCGGCGCATATTTATGTTCACCACCAAGCAAAAATGTCACAAAGAAAATGCAGATGCATGTATCTTTTGCCATCAGAGCAAAGATACATTCTGACAATGTTTGAAAATATATGCCTGTGCATCTGTCAAATTTAATCAATGTAATTATCCCCTCACATCATTTTTGGTTTGCTTCAGTGCTAGGAAAAGAAAGCAGACCGTGTTCCTTCGCTCTCTCTCTGGTGTTGTATTATCACTTTGCTGTGGGAGGAAGCACCATGTCTGTGCTTGGGGGGGGCGGGGGGCACTTGCATGAGACATGTGATAACTGCTGGCTCTTGTGTACACAGCGGGGGTCAAGCCCCCAAGGAACACATGAATAGCCAACGGCCCTGTTTACATTGTGATTTTCTCGGAATGTTGTCAAAGTGATCATTTGAAAATGTGAACAATGCAAGAGATTTGTTGAAATAAAGTGCTGCGTATTGGTATATGTTCCCTAATTATTGGGGGAAATCATCAACATGATCAATACCTTCACATATATCAATCTCGTTAATCGATAATAATAACTCGGGCTGTGACGAACAAATATATATATTTTTTTTTGAATTGACCATTAATTCGTCTGGTAATCACCCCTCCTCCATTTCAAGGCAGAAATGTTTATTTCGACCAATTTTTGTGGTCGACTTAATTACTGGATCCCCCCCCCCAGCTTTAATAATAACAGAAACTAGGGTAAACATAATTTGAGCCAGTTTGTTATTTCAGGAGTGCGTGTCAAACTGGTAGGCCGTCGTACAATTCAGTAACAAAAAAGTAGCTTTCAGCTTCAAAAAGCTTGGTGACCCCTGATATCAAATTTAATCTTCCCAGGGAGAAATAACTATAGATGCATTCTAGGAGTTGGCATCGGGTTGTGTTTGAACTGTCTCCTTCCATGCAGGTTTTCATTCAGTTGTTGCTTGTCTTGCCACTGGGTACGAATCATGACTTAGCATTTTCCCCTTGTCATTATTGTAAATAAATAATTATTTTCCACCCAATTATGTGAATTTGGCCAGCATGATCTGTCATGGCACACTGGTATGGGGAAACCAAGGGTGTCACAAATGTAGGTTGTAACCCCAAATTAGGCCACAGCTACATTTTGGGGCGTTGGAGTAAAGTGGAGCAAGCCAGTAATTTGCCAAATGCAGTAGTATAAGAACAAATCGCTGTCTGAGTACAGTTCAGTTGTTTTAAACTGGAAGTTCAATACATTGTTAACATTTTTGGGGGGTGTCATGAACACTTTTTGGGGGTGTCATTATTCAGGTGCTTTTTCTCAGAGCTAATATGTGCAATACATTGTGATTTAATCATCATTTATGTTGAATTTTTGGTTCCCTTAATGAAGCAGAGTGGTGCAAATAATTTCACAATAGCTTACTAGATTAAAGTTTTAGGAATATAATGATTTTTAGGAATATTTTAAAGTGGGTGATGGTAGTTTGACAATGATGTTATTTTTAGGTGGTACTTATTGTCAAAGGTTTGACAACTAAGCCATTTGTTTAATTGGTCACTGGTTAGACTTGACTCATTTGTGTAATGAATGCACATCTGTTGAGTTCGTTATCATTAATGAATGCAGAATATGTCGATGATAACATTCATTAAACTTCACATTTTTAATGGTCTTAGTGTGCATATACCTTTATGTAACTGGTTCTCCTGCTTTCTGCATTTGGCTCTTCTGTTCTGGAACCAAACCTGCAGCAACACACATGAGTTCATGTTAATTTTGTCTGCATAGGCGTGAAGGCAGATGCGTGTGTTAAATCCCTCACAAGTGACAATAATAACCACAAAAATATATACATATATATTTTTTAAATCCTCAGGAGAGTAAAACATTCAAAGGCATTTAAATCATTAGCATGGGAGATCTTGCAGACAGATGTGGGAATATGCACGAAAATTTATATATATATATATATATATATATATATATATATATATATTCCTTTATTCAGGCAAATTGTGGCGATGTTACAGGACGATTGGATTGTAATAAATAACCTTGTCAGCGCTGGTGTCATCTTTCTGTTCATGAGTGTCCCAGCAGACTTTGAATGGACTGTGTGCTATCGAGTAGCAGCCATGATGATGATGATGATGCTTTCCCTTCCTCTGTCATTGGACTGCTTTCCTCTCATTAACTGACCGCTACCATTAATTACTGCGCGCCAGACGCGTTGGGGGGGGGGAAAAAAGACTTCAACACAAACTACACGGCGGAACAGCACATTTACTTAAATTAGCACAAATCCTCCGTGGCATGTATTGTGACAGAAAATCTTATCGATTTGGCTGTCGTCGGGTTTCATTTATTGAGCATTTTGAGCGCGCTCCACTTCGGATTTATAGCGGTGATAAAAGCAAAATCATCGATTGAGGCAGGAAGAAATAGAAAATAAAGCTGTGAAAGTGCTCATATGTTTCATATATTTATTATATAGAGACAGTGCTGTAGAGAGTCTATTGATGATAAACACATTTAATGCATGAAAATCCCTCAACACAACTGGGGAGAATTCTGAAGTGGGGGAGACAACCCCCAACCACCCCAAAAAAGTTTAACTTTTTCTATTGGCCATTTACGATTATTTTTATTACATTTTCACAATAAGATAAATCTGTTCCAACACATGTTTGAAGACCCCCCCCCCCACCCCCCGCCCTCCATCTTTCCTTGGATGGCATACTGGGTTTCTTGTCCAGATGGTCGTTTTGCTCGTGGGCCCTCACGACCAACATCATGTTCCATGCTCACACACACACACACACACACACACACACACACACACACACACACACACACACACACACACACACGCGCGCGCGCTCGCGCACTGCTATAGGATTCACTCTTGCTCGATGGAGAGGGTGAAAAGCATGCATGTGCACTCTTGTGACGTCACCACACTCACATGCAGCCCCCAAGTGAGATCGGTAACGAATTATTAGGCATTGCTGCTGGTCGAAGAATAGATCAAAAAGAGGGAAGAAATAAAGATATTTTTATTCGAACGGACAAATGTGGCTTTGTGTGGTAATTTATTTGGAATTGATTTGAACCACGTTTTCTCGTGTTTTCGTTGAATGTGTGGTTAAGAAAGTGGGAAACAACATGAATTACTGATGCTTGTTAAGATGAATGTCTTTTTTCAGTGTACTTTTATTTTGAATGTCATTTAAACATTTGGGTGCCATCATTTCTTTTTTTTAATTAACCACGGAAATTATTTTTAAAACTAATTTTAAACAAAACTATATTTGGATGCATCTTATATGTTTGTCATATTTTTTAAAAAAATGTTCGTTGTCAGCTGCAGTGCATTTATTCATTTGGATGCCTTATCCACAAAACAGTCAAATATTATTAATTGAAATATCTAACTCATGACTGATCCTCTTTTTAAAGATTGTTTTTCGTGTTATCACCATTCGTTTTTCGTTTCCCATCATTTGTTTTACAAGCAATATATATATATATATGTGTATTCTTATAAAGCATACATGTGCTTTTAGTTTGAAATTTCGTGGTTTAAATGTTTGTCGTTTAATTATCTGCTGTCCATTTATCTCACTTTGTTGCGTGATTACTATTGTCATTATATTGCATTTGCATACAAAGAAATGCGACGACTTGTGTAGGATATGTTTATCGTTTAGAATATTTTTTTCATACCTTTAAAGATATTAAGACACTATTTTGTATTTGTAATGTTGTCATATCTTTATTATTAGGAATTCTGCATGCCTGCTTTGCCTTATGTTGCTGCATGTGTTTTATTTTTTTATTGCGGAGACAACTGAAACAGTGGATGGATAATCAATGTATCTTTCTATTTGTGGATGTATTGTTTCAGTTCTTTCCCGCCCTCTTTTTTCTTCCCATGTGAGCAAAGCCGGTGGATGCTGACCTGCACCCTGGCCTCGGACAGCCCCAGCCGCTGGCTCAGCTCCTCCCGCATGAAGGCGTCCGGGTAGTGCGTCTCGTCGAAGAGCCTCTCCAGCTCGTTGAGCTGCTCCAGCGTGAAGTTAGTCCGACTTCTCCTCTGCTTGATTTTGGTCTGCGCCTCGTCCTCCATGGATTTACTGGACTCCTCTTTCCTCTCCTTCACATCCGTGGCACCTTGAAAAAAAACGGGGACAGGGAGCGGAGGCACATGACTTGCACGTTTTTTTTTTCACACGTTCTTCCACGAACGCCACGAACGGTGCACGGCCTCAATGGAGGCGAGAAATGAAAGCGATGGAAAGTGAAGCAGATACTTCCCATCCCCAACCCTCAAAAAGAGGATCACAGCTCGAATGTTTTGTCGAGCTACATAAAGGTCTTTAATTATTAAGTGCTTATAAATATGCAAGGCAACTGGGTGTGCGCCTCTACTGGGGCTTTGCTGTGCACGTGAGTGTGTGTGATCCACGCCGGGAAACACGCAGACGGTGACCGCCACGAACAAGGCACGCCGTTTTTAAAAAGCATGTGTTGACACATTTGATCTGTTCAATAAGACACATTTAGATCTGCTTAAAAAAAATCATGACCGGTGTTAGATTTTTTTTAAACATAATCCAGAAATGCAAATGCTAAATTATACTTTAGGTGATTTATTACAAATGCAAATCATTACAATTAAAGAATTTTAAATATATATATTTTTTGTTATTATTGTAACGAGACTGTGTGAACACCCAGTTTCATCACATTTATTTTATGTCAATTTAACTCCGTTTTTTAAAAATCGTGTTACCATCCAGTTAACAAATTTAACAATTTAACCGCGTGCGACATAATGCGCGTATTAATAAATCACACAGAACTCACAAGCCAGTTTTATAGAAGATAGGGTAAGATATTCCATTTGTGCACCGAAAGCACACGTGTCATGCTGCAAAATCTGTATTTGATATATAATGGAAAGCACTTTAAATTTGATTTATTTTAAAAAAAATGCTAAAACCCATTCTTAATGCACTGTAAATGTTAACTATTAATTTCGCTATTCAGTGTTTCGGTTCAAACATTTCCACCAAACTGTGATCATTGATGATTAACTTTCAAAGTGTCTACAAGCGGATTTTAAACAATAGTTGCAACAACATTACGATTGATTTTCTCTCCTAAAATGTGACAACCATCCAAATAAAATAGTTGCAACTCAACTGAGCGCTTTTATGTAGCCTCTGTGGACTGACTATTCGTCCAAGCGGATCCATATACGTCTCACACTCTTACCGTCAATGAGTTTGGGGCTGCCGGCGTCCCTTGTCCTCTCCGGGCCGAGGATGTCCGTCTCCCTGCCCGGTGAGAGCGCCACGTTCCGGGCTACGACCGCCGCCTCCTCCCGACTCCCGGGTTCCGGGGCTAAGGACTCCCCGCCGCGGCCGGCCGCCCTTGCCGCGCCAGTCTCCAGCACCTCCCGATAAGTGATCACCTCCTTCTTCTCCTTGACTTTGTGATCGAAAGACTTCGACACGAAGGCGGTGAGCTCTTCCATCACACACTCGTCTTTTTTCCTTTCAAAGAAGGAAAAAAATCAGACAGGCAGACTCGCCGTAGCCCCTCTCTCCCTTTGCTCCACGGCAGTTTAAGACATCAATGGTGCGGCCCCCTGAAAACGAGACGAGGTGATGCTGCCAACTCTCTGGGAAGGCGCCCGAATATGGGACATAAAGATGCGTCTTCCTCGGCCAATTTCTCCCTCCTTTGGTATAGCGGAGTTGGGGAACCTGCTGGTGATCCTCGATTGAAGTCACACTATTTATACTTTGCGGCGCCGTGCCCCCTTGATCCGTGCAAATTACCTCCCCTCAGGATGCCGGGATGAGACCCCCCTCTTCCTCCTTTCCCTCCCTCTCTCTCTCTCTCTCCCTCTCTCTCTCTCTCCTTTCCCTTCCTTCATCCACCCTCACTAGTAAAAAAAAAAAGAAAGCAAAGAAAAAAAAACATTAAGCACCACCACCACAGCAGCTATTGGCCATTAATCCAAGCTTGACAAGAAGGACTAATTAATTTAATTAAGCGCTCATTTGCTGTTATTGTCCGGAGTTACTTTTTAAACACCCGAGAGAATGCGCTGAATCGCTCTCTCTCCTTCCGCTCTCTCTCTCTCGCTCTCTCTCTCTCTCTCTCTCTCTCTCTCTGCCGGGGAGTGGCTTGCAAATATGTGAAAATGACGAGAGAGAGAGAGAGAGAGAGAGAGAGAGAGAGAGAGAGAGAGAGAGAGCATCTTCATCTCTTATCAATGCAGATAAAACAATAAAAGACTCACTCGGTGATTTTTTTACTTCCATTTTTTTTGCACGTATTGCCAATTGTGGGGTGGGGGTAGTTTTATTTCGCACGTGTTCGGAAAAAAAGGTGAAGCAATTGCGAATAAATGAATTTATAATGAGTGTAATTCAAGGCTTAGGGCCCAAAATGCGTTGCTATTTATCAGGAAAGTTAAAAAAAAGAGTAATCATGTAGTGCTTGTCATAAATTTACGTCGAGAATTTACAACAAAAATGCATGTATTACTGTACCAAGTTTAGGTTTGTAAATGTTGTGTGTGTGTGTGTGTGTGTGTGTGTGTGTGTGTGTATATATATATAAGCTATCTGTTTATATAAATCCCACGTTTCTTACATTTATCATTTATACAGCTTCTATTATATTAAGTTTCTACAACATAATGTTTGCTTCAAATCAAGGGCGCAGTGAATGATTTTCCGCTATGGCTTCATAGGAATCCTCAGCGGGCCTTTTAAAGACATGCTTATGGTGTTAAATAACAGCTAAACGTTCAATTAATGCGCCCCTCTCTCTGCTTGTATTATTGCCAATGGGCGCGTTAATTACCGCTGGAATTATTATGCCTATACTGTATCTGTAAATAAACAATGAGAGCAATTAAGAGGAAAAAAAAGCAAGGATTTTTTTTTAACGTGATGCTAAATGAGGCGTATTTATTGATAATCTATATGTATCTCAATTTCCACGCCGCGATGATAATAATTCCCCTCAGATTAAATATTAACGACGTTTCAGTGTGAACCTTTCGGTATTAATTCCTGTTATTCCTGCCCAGAGCAGCATTGCATGCCTAATTGAGGTGATGTGCATCCTGTTTATCTTTTCAACCCCCCACCAATCCTCGAATTAATTTGTTGTTGGCAAATCGTGTTCTGGATTCATCTGTACTTGGTAGAGAAAACACTCTCACCCAATGATGACCTCGTGCATGCGCATGAGCTCAAGGCTGCAAACGCGCAGGTGCAGGGAAATTTGAGCACACTTTACTGCGTAAACAACAAACACATTTTACTTAACTGCAGATTTATGAGAAGGGCAGTACTGCTTCGTGTTTTTAAGCAGGAAACATTGGGTTCATTAAAAAGCTCATTCTTAATGCAAATAATGAATAAAATATGTCGAACACACACTGTATAACCACATTGTAAAGTGAAGCCTTTTAAGTTCGTAATATCTGTATTTAATCTTTAAGAACTGTTGTTCAAAAAACAGAACATTTATTTAGGTGCATCTTTATTTAACTTTGATGTAAAATACATTCAAATTGAATAATATAGATTTTTTTTTTAATGAAGGAAACATTGGATTCATGAGAAAATCATTGACAGTGCAAATAGTAACTAAAATGTTATAAATGCTGTTTGTGTTTACTGCAGGAAAATGCAGTGAATCTCAAGGTAGTGGTGTGCAGGTTTCAGGCTCCTTGAGAGTGGGATGTAAAAGAATCACTGGTCAATTACAGTTCTGGTGAATCTATTTGAATGACCCAAAAAAGCATGATTTTCATTGACTATTTCTGGACTGAATCAAGTCTAAAACAGACCGACCAGATTTTGCCTTGAAATCCGACATTCAAAAGATGTCTGGTGCTGGGTGGGCTCATAGTCTACTTCTGTATCATACATTGATATACTAGGTAACAACCAGTCAGAGTGATCAGTTGTCACGGACGGCCAACCCTATTTTGGATACTATGATTGATGGCCTGTCATATACAAATCATATTTAAAATTACAACGACACAAAAATTTCTTAATTCTGTCTTTCTGCTTTATTGTGCCTGCCTGTAATCGATCGACGCGCTCTGCCTTGACTTTTTTGGTCTGGCACTGCCTTGCATGTGTGTTTTGGAGCTCGGCAACGGTGAGAAGCGGGATGTACGATAAAGATGATGCCAATTGAACTTCGTTCCACTCGAGTTTAGATTTTGCGTGACTTATACGTCACCCAAGACATTGGTACAGCCATTCGGGTACCAGTCGAGTAAAGAATTTGAACATAACGTTGCAGCGTTAGCCTGGTTAGCTAGCTAGCTAGTCATAACCGGTACGTACTCTGCCGACCACTCGCGTGAAAGACAACACGTTTTCCGCTCAAGTCCTTATTTAAGATGCGTTAGCTGTCTACGCGGTGTGCGTGTGAATTGCTGTTGAACATGACTTGTTGACCAAAGTGGTCGTTCGTCGTTGCTAATATGTCGCAAGTAAGCATTATCCTCTGAGCAACCATGTGTGTTTGCATTATGACAGTGACAATAGTGAACCAGTTATGGGTCGACACTCATCGAGCAGTGAAGGTGAAAGCCGGAGCAGAAAGAAGAAAAAACAGCGTCGCCGCTCGTCTTCATCTTCCTCTACGTCGTCCTCGTCCTCCGGGAGCAGGGTGACAAGCAGTCGGAGCCACAGATCAAGCCGCCGGAGCCGCTCACGTTCACGGGATAGGAGGTGAGGCTGCTAAGTGCAACAACATTCCATGTACAACAACGCGACAGAAACAATGTTCCTTTCATCAGATGTGATTTGTGTGAATCATTATTATTAACCGAGACACTGCTGTTTAAATATGACAGGCAAAATAATTCAATACTCTTCCATTAGATAGCACGTAAAATAAACCTTTGTATCCACCTGTTGCCATTCATACAACAGAATAGACCATGACTTCCAGGTCACACTCACATTCATACTGTAGGTGTGAATGTAAGTGTGATTGATTTGTTTATATCTCCTGTGATTGGCTGTCCAGTAGCGACCAGTCTCCCCATGCAACATCTGCATGTTTTCATCCATGCTTGCATGATGAAGAAAAAAATCGTTTTAGTTACCATCTTTGTTTTTGTCAAAATTATTGATTGAGACTACTGCACCTATTCAGAAGACACACCAGAAGTACTCTGCAGTAAACTTTAAAAATTTGCTGGGGATAGAGACTGAGATCTCCTGTAGAAAGCGTAAAACACAAATAATTGATGCCTCCTTGAAAAATGCTGATAAATGTCTAAATTAACAGTTTAAACTACAAATATATCATAAACTGTGACCCCAAAGCACTCTAAAATCATTCATACTCTTCTTAGAATATTATGCTTAAAAGGTAACGGCTTTGAGATGATTTGATTTTGATCAAATGCACCGAAACACAAGCTGTAGACTGTAAATTTCCCCAGTGTGGGACAAATAAAGGATATCTTATTCTCTCTGCTCTGCGGGAACAACTATTAAAATGGTAAAATGTGGTATTGCTGCCCGGGCAATACCACAATCACTGATCTGTCCGATCCCACTTTTTTGGGCACCCTTCGTTTGGCTTGCTACCTAATGTGTACAGATATCATCAGTTAGAGGTCAACCAACTGCAACTGGTTTGACTTTTCCAAACTGTATCTCAGCAGAATGAACATTAGTCCATCATCTTTGTTGTTGATTTTAAAGCAGCGATGTACTTAAAAATATTCTGATGTAAAAGTCACAATTTATCCTAAGTATGCAAAGCCTATGACACATTCTTGGATATCTTAATGAATGACCCAAAGGTCAGTTGGTGTTTAGAATAAATAAATATATAAATATTAGTGATTCACTGTCCACTTGCCTGTTTATGGTATTTTGGACCACTTGGAGAACATTCATTCCACTAACAACATGAAGAATTGGAACAATTCAATCATAAACATGATACCTTGTTTCAGCAGCTGTTAATTAATCGTGGATGGAGGCAGGATTTTGCCATAATCGCATATCCTTACTCGCACATGGAGCCGAGTCCCTCTGTCAAGCCTCCATCCATCCACAGCTTCCACTTGGCTGTGTAGGGGTTGCTCAGGCAAGGTGGATTGATGGTAATTATTTATGAGGCCTGGTCAAGGTCCATTACTGCTGATGGGAAGACATTGCCTCTCTACACAGGGCGGGGCGATAAAACCCTGGGAGCCCTCATCCCTCATCTGCTCGCCAATACATTTTGATCAATTAACATACACATGTGGCAGCGCACGTAGTGAACACCCACAAGAATAAAAAAAGCTTTTGGCTCTTGAAAGAGTGATAACATCATTAAATAATACAGTGGAAGCTCTAGAATTGAATTGATCGCAACTGTACATTACTGGTTTTCTTAGAAAACATTTTGCCTCTCATCGGAAGACGGTTTATTCAGTTCACGCAGCAAGGCGATTGCAGTCCTAAACGAGCATGGGAAACAAAACTTGACTTGAGTTGCAACTGAACCCACGCTACCTGTGCCAGAGTCTAACAAATGTACCACTACTCACCGTCTTTATATAAAGATGTATTGTATCACTGACCTCTGCTGGCTCCCGTTTACCAATAAGGTTGTTTGTGAGCAGCCACATCCCCAGTTGTAAGAGGTTGTTCATTTTTGCTGAACCAGTCTAAAATATAGATTCCTCTTAACTAAGTTGTACAGGTTTTTACGTCATATTAACGGTGAAAATAATTTTGAAATGATTTACCTTGGTCTTATTTTTATATCACAAAAAAAAAAAACAACTTGCATTTAAAATAGATTTGTGCCCACTGTAATGGATTGAGGGAGGATTCTGCACGTGCTCGTTAGTCTTCAGTTTCCATTTCGTTTTTTCTTTTCTGACTGATGTTGACATATTTCTTGCCTGAGGACGTACTCACACTTTGTACTTAGGGAATTAGAAGTTAAAAAAAATACTCGGGTACATGTTCAAGTACTGATTCAATGAGGTAAACTAGTGTAGATAAATACACAAGTAAAGTTCAGATACCTGAGAAATCAATTTAAGGAAACGGTATGAAAACATTTGTACTTTGTTACTTCCCTATACTGACCTTGTCTTCGAGTTGAAATGGAGGCAGAGAGCAGGAATAAAACGTGCGCGAGAACAAGAAAAAGTGGTGTTCGTGTGGAAGGTGTATCGGCACATCTGCTTTTTTTCATTTTTGGATGAGCTAACACACCACCTCCAGGAAAAGTGTGGAGTGTTGGCTTGTGAGTTAGTTCACAAGTCCTCACTCACGGGATCCGACCTTTTGGAATACTAAATCATCCTTCCTGCACCGCTTGAAGTACTACTACTTACTATTTGTCCTGCTTTCTCTTTCACTTGCCTCTCATCCATCTTTTTGAATCTCTCATAGGGAACATAAGTACCGGTTTGTGTTTTGTTTGAACTGAAATGGGGTATTTTTGGACTTTAGTGAAACAAAAGAAGAGAAAAAAAAAAGTATGTTGCTCAATCGGTTAGCACTGTTCATCCAGCCCCATAAATGAAGATAAAAGGTAGAAGATATCAATCGGAGTGCTCTGTTACGTTGTGTTGGCAAACTGGATGCAACACCGTTGCTTTAAAGAGCAGCAGCGCACCAAAAGGCCCCTGTGGAGGAACCGTAGGGCAACCCGAATGGCTGTGCTGCCCTGTGGCTATGTACACTGATGCAAAATAGCTGACAGAACATCTGATTGAGAGCTTTTACACCAGAAGACTTTGGTGCCTTCCCTGAGCTGTAACATAATATACACGGCAAAATGAGTTTCAAAAATTATAACAGGTGTCTTGATAAACTGTAAATCAGCAGGGCAGATTAAAGAGCCATACTTGATTTAATTTGTGGGTGTTTGTTTCAATCCTAATGACTGAGGTAAATGTTGTTTACATGTTTTAAGGGTCTGTTTGTTTCTTATTTTTAGACGAAAGAAGCGTTCGAGCAGCAGCTCATCCCGAAGTTCATCTCGCAAAAGGAGAAGTCGTAGCGGTGACAAGGGAAGGAGCCACCGCTCACACAGGACATGTAGCCGGGACAGAAGGTAAAATCAATAGCTGTCGTCGCCACGGCTAGAGCTTGACGATTATGGAAAAAATAATAATCATCATTATTCTGATTGAGAATGGAATCACAATGATGAAAACAACTTCTCATTTCATCTATTTTTCTAAATTCGGCCCTCTGACGAAAAAGTTTGGACACCCCTGTTTTAAACACATCACACCGTTCTGCACAAGAATCGCTTTTCTTTGATTATAACATTTTAAAGATCGAGAGAAGCCAAAATCGAAATCACAATTTCAATTTTGATCAATCGTCCAGCCCTACTTTAAAAGTTTATTTTGAAATGTATAATACAAATTTAAAAAGATCTGTTACTGAAAAGATCAGGGAAACCTGACTGAGAGTGAATAGTGGATACATTCTCGACTCGTTTTTGTCTGGCCCTGCATTTTACTAGCGTATGGTCATTCCTTTCAGTTTGCTGTAAATGTGACCTAAAAGTAGACATCCTTGCATGTGCTACACTCATCCTAAATCTCAACACTGTATTCACTCATTACTGTGATTAAAACATCATCATCCATATGTTGATTTTGCTGAATTATGACTATTACCGTGCTGTCCGATGGCGCTTATTTGCTTTTGTTTTTCAAAGGATTCACTTATTCATGTGCGCGCACACACACACACACACACACACACACACACACACACACACACACACACACACACACACACACACACACACGTAGTATTTTACGGTACGTATCCTTTCCAGCAATATAAAAGCAAAATCCCCGTGTGTGGTGCTCCATGTCATTAGCATAGCTAATCTGTTGCTAATGAACCAGTAAACTGTGCTGCCCCCCCCACCCCCTTGCTTTAAATCCCTCACACATACACACACAGACGTGCACAGATGCACTCACGAGGAAAATGTTTTCAAAATGTATGCAGCAAGTGGGGCATTTTGTTTATTTGCATATGGCTGAATGGTGAGCAGAGATCATCTTAATCACAAATAGGCGGGAAAACGTATTTTAATATTACCAGGTGTCGGCATGAAGGCCTGACTTGTAGTGAGACCTTTGACATGTTGGATGATGCTGCACCGTTTTTTTGTGGGGAATAGGAGCAGCCATGCTTTTCAGGATGGCTTCGACCTTAGTCGACAGTCAATCACTACAGGGCTGGCACTGAGAACATCTGTCTGAAAATGGAGTCAGCGGAGTGGCGTGAGATGAAAGGTGCGGGGGATTTGGGAGATTTAGAACTACAGCCGATGACATTAGCGCATACAAACGCAGCGCTATGATTAGCAGAGTTGTGTAATCTTCTTAGTGAGGAGCAGGTGGGATGGGTCGCCGGAGGTGCCAGAGTGATTGAGCGCGACGGCAATTTCGCCAGAAATGCACAATGGCATTTTCATATGACAAACATTGGAGGGGTAACCACTACTTACAGAATAGAATGAGCTGTTTTCAGTCCTCCGATAGGGACATTTTATGGCAGCTAAGTGGTCAGTAGCAGCACCTGACAAAATGAAAAATCAAACATGTCAACTTCGCACAAAGAGCACATTTAACAATAAAGTTGACTTGAACTTGAGCTGTGTTTACATTTGCCCTGTCAGGCAGTGAGACACAGCAGAAGAAGAGCAGTGGTGTATGAGTCACTTAAATGTGATTCATACAGACTATATACCTGTATGCACAATTTTATCTACATGGAAAAAGAAATGCGTTTGCTCGGTTACTTGTCACGAGGTAGATTTCCCGATGGCAGCCAAGCTCTAAAAATGTTGTGCCATTTTGGTATGAGCAAGCCGTTCAAGACTATTTTCACTGACCCGTCAAGGTCCTCAGAATATTGTTTACTGGTTTACAGGTGTTCGGTTTTAATGATAAAAACCTGGAATTTGACCAAGATTGTGTAGACCTATTTATTTATTTATTTGAAATCTACTATAGATGTTATATGAAGTGTTGTATCACCGCAGTGGGCTGACAGCAAGGCTGACTCAGACCATACAGGTGCTTCCAGTGCCATTAATCAGTCACATGGCGTGTGTATCTGAGGATGCTGGCTGATGGATCAGTTCAGGATTGAGTGGACAGGACCTCATGATGGATACGCAGATAGGATATAAACTGCCGCGTGTAACCCGCCCCAACCCGGCCACGTCACCGTGACATCCCCAGCGGAATATGAACGAGAGGTGAGAGTGCGGCGACCCAAGAGAGGCAGCAGATGCAGGGGACGGGAAGTTTGAAGGGAGTGGGAAAAGTTGAGTACTTGAGTTGAATGCAGGAGAGTGGGCGGGAAATGAAGAGAAAAGACAAAATCGAGAACAGATCGAGTGGTGAGCGAAGAAATGGGAATAACAATGGGTGCAATGGAAGGCAAGATTAGACTACAGCGAGCCGGTTTAAAGTGGAGAACACGATTACCTTCTTTCCAATGGCTCCTACATGAATAAGAATACAGAAATACATGAAATAAGAATAATAGTCGATCATTTGGTTACCATCAATCGTGGCTCCCTCCCTCTCTCTTCTCTTTCCTTTTTTTCCCTCTGCCCTCAATCAGGAGGACCTGGTCCCCCAGAGGCAGTCAATCTTGCCCTGAAATGTAAAACAGACAAGAGGAGCAGATTACCTATTTGCCATTAATGTTTATTCTCTTTGATCTGAACAGGCATACCGGGCCTCTCTCTGCGGCTGTGTGTGTGTGTGTGTGTGTGTGTGTGTGTGTGTGTGTGTGTGTGTGTGTGTGTGTGTGTGTGTGTGTGTGTGTGTGTGTGTGTGTGCGTGCGCGTGTGTGCGTGCGCGCGCATGGGTCCTGCCAGCAAACGTAGTAGCAGCCGACAGAGCATGCACATGCAGATATGCGCACCACCGCACGGTGTGGTAATTATTAGAGTGTGTGTGTGTGTGTGTGTGTGTGTGTGTGTGTGTGTGTGTGTGTGTGTGTGTGTGTGTGTGTGTGTGTGTGTTGTGTGTACAGCTCGGGTCCGACGACAGTGACGCAGCCTCTCATCACAGCCTAATCACAGGCCCGACTTCTGCTGCGCTCTGTCTACAGGCGCGGCGGCATGCTGTCACGTTCGACGGCCACCACGGTTAAACGTGTAGCTCAGTCAGTCATTCAGTCAGGTTGCCATCAGACCTGATGGTGGCTACCCAGGCATCGGTATTAAATAATCTCCTGCAACAAATTTTCCTTTCCGAAGATAATAATGCTCTGTTGTGAAGAGAAATGCCTGTCAGCGTTCTTATTGTTTAAAAAAAAAAAAAAAATCCACTTTCACACTGCCTTCATGATTTTTCCGTAGTCTTTTTTTTTTCTTTTTTTTTTAATTTGGGATTACTCAAAAATTATTCGTAAAACCAAAACCATTCTTGCCTCTCGTTTGTCCTCTTCCATTTTGTGTCTTGTGTTTCCCGGTTGTTGCTATGCTTCATCCTCCCTTGTTTTTGTTAGATCACGCTACATTTCTAACTCGGAGGACTAGATTCTCATTGTGTAGTGGAACAGAATCTTTGTGTGCACTGCACTGTGTTGACATTATCGGAGCACTTCATCCTAATCCATCTTCACTAAAAGCTCAGAAGAGCTCTTTAATCGTTTGAGAATCACCCTGGTTTAGACCTATAACATGTCCACTATTTTCTACCGGCCAAACACAGAAACACTCCACTTCTGCAAGTGTGTGCGTGTGTGTAAAGCTGAGTTGTGGCCTGGTAAGTATTTCACTCAGCAATTTCCCTCCCCTGTATGAGATGAAGTGTCGTACATCTGCTAGATAGGTTTTCCCGTCTTGCTCTGACACCGAGTGTGCAAGGTCAAGCCGAGGGAGGGTTGAAGACAAGAGGTGGGCTGGGCAAAATTTTTAACCAGACCACTTGGATCAGTAATTCCCCAAGTGTCAGATCTTAAGGCACACTGTATTGTGCGTGCGTGCATGTGTAGGTGATGCAGCAGGTGGTTTTGGGTGTCACTTCCTTTTTTTAAAGGGGAAATTGGAGTGAGTATGTTTGAGGACATGACAAGTGAAATTGACGCTTGAAATGAGTAGTTTAGAGTAAAATAAAACATATCTTAAAGGTTGTGGTTATGTATTCTTAAGCATTAAGCTGAGATAGATGCTGGATAAATAAATCTATCCATAAATAAATCTAGGCAACAAAATTGAGCAGAGGTAAAAAAAAAAAAAAAAAAAATGCAGCCTTTATATTTTGAAAATTACATTCTCCCAAGTGTGATGTCGATTTGAATTTGAGTATTTGCTCAGCCCAAGCGTAATTTCCCTCATTAAATAGTGTTCTGTTGATGTAGTCTTTTCTTATGGCGTGACTTCTTCCTTCTCCTCCTATTAGCGGATGGGCAAGGTGTTGATTTAAGCTGAAAGATGACCCGGTTTACTGCACAAACCTCAACATGCTCACCATTGTGAGATCTGACCGCAGTTTTTGATGCGGTGCTGCTTTTCATTCTTCACTCTTTCTCTGTGTTGTCTTTTTTATTTATCCGCTGTAAAGGCCAGTCAAACGCCGCTCGCCTTTGTTGTCAGAAACCTTTATTTACCAAAGGGAGGAATAAGTGACTGACACAGACAGCCGCTTTCATCCGCGCTTCGCCGCAAGCGCCGTTCCCCCCTCCCCACCTTCACCACCAGCCATCCTCCAATACCTGCCTCCACCACTCCAGCACACCTCTCCATCCTACAGCCTCAAAAACACACCAGCCTACTCCCCGGGGTGGCAGGCTTGTCTGCACTGCATAACATGTACACTCCCCAGAAAACAACCCCCCCCAAAAAAATCACCTCAAAACCAGCCATCATACCGTCTCATATTGGCAATCCTGTGAGGTCAGGAAGATGGTCCCAAATGAACACTGAGAGATTTCCTCCTTTTCTCTCCATCAGTCATCCATGTGGCTATTATTTCAATCGTGCCATTTCACAGTGAGGCACTTTTCGTGCGCTGGTGTTTTCGGACCACGCTTTTCTGGCGGCTAGTCAACTTTACGTAG